AATTATTAAATTAAATATGACTGGGAAGTATCAAATGAATCTCCTCTTAAAACTATGGAAAATATGGAAACTTCTTTTTTTTTCTCTTAAATTAGGGCAAAGAAATTGTTAACACTTTCACCTGATTCGGTCATATAAGAGTTTATCTTCCAACTATATCTCTCTCTATATAATTGCATTTCTACAAGGGCTCCAAGGCATCAGTATAAGTATTAATACACGAAGGTTCAATTTGACGGTTCAAACCCATAAGTAAAAGCATTGTTTGGAGCCAACGTTTCATCTGTTGGACTGGATGCAACTTGGATTTCAGTTCGTCAGATTTTTGGCAAATATTTGGTCTAAGTCTTGGCTCAAAGTTTGCAGCCCTGATTTGGAATTTCCAAGTTTTAGTTTGTGGGCTCAAATTCCGCCGCTAGCTGTGAGCAGAGAACAGAGATTGGAAGAGAAAAAGCATATTTGTTAAATGTGAATTATGTTGCATACCCCACAGGCGCGGCCATTAAATGTTTTGTCTGCGACTCGAGCGACAATCCCAGCTGTGCGGATCTCAAGTCGAACTCGAGCATTGTGCCTGAGGTAAGTCCGCCCGCTGCACCATAAGCAAAAATCTCAGATAGTGGCCGGCACATGTGGCATGTGGCATGTGGCATACGCTTAACCTGTGCCCTTGCCCCGAGTGCCAGCTAATCAGCTAATCAGACCCCGTTGACCTTAATCAAAGTGCCACTAAATTTAAAAGCACATAGCACATAAATTCTAAAAAAAGAAAACTGAAAAAAAAAAGAATCGAACGGAAAACGGAAACGGAAACGACGTCGTCGCTGTACTCGTCATTGTTGTGACCGTTAAATGAATGTGTTGGCATCTCTCCATTGCATTGCGCTTCACCACCTTCCCCCCTCTCCACAGCTGACCCAACCGAAATTTTCTTTTGAACAGCTCTATGAAGACATTTTCACTTGGCAGCTTAGTAAAATTGGAATTCGTTCTATTTGGCATTATTTAGTGAGAATTTACAGCCCAAGTTCCATTTGTAAAGAAATTATTATTCAGCAAACATCTGGTTTTTCCTGATTGAAAAATTTATTACTCAAAGCTTATTAATGTAGAAATAAAATGGAAACACTTAAAGCATTTAAGCTATTTTCAAAAAATATCGTGAAAATATTATATTTACCGACAAAAGAGGAGAATTAACTTTGGAATGACGAAGAGACTGAGAGACTTTCGATATGCTTCTATGTTTGTATACAAACATAATATAGGGTCTTCATTCTTTTTAAATTGGTTTAAAAGTAAGCAAAGAGAGAATTTTGATGGCGATTCGGTTAACAATTTGGACAAATGCAAAGCTTGTTGGTAGTTTTCGACATACATAGACCGAGGTTTTTGTTTAAAGAGGTGAATACATCATAACTTAAGACATGGACTTGCAGATAGAACGAATAGATTTAAGTCTTCTACGAGCGAATTATAATTTATTTCTAAAACCCGAAGCAACAAACTAGGAAAAGGTCAGATAATATCAGTTGGAGATATATATGCCAACAGTTGGAAATAAAGTTAAACCTAATGAACAGCAAGAAATGAATGAAAATAAGCCACGTTAAAGTACGCCTAATGGGGGAAAACCCAAATTCGGATCCAAACGGTTATAAATCAAATCATTTCCAGTTAACTGATATAAAGAGGCCATATACGAGCTTTAGATCAGCCTAGTTTCTCGGCCAACGCCTGGTGTGCAGCGAGGCCGTTGCACCATCGATTGCTATAACGATAACGATAACGATAGCGATAACGATAGCGATAACGACTGCGATGCACGCCTGATAAGATAAGCGCTGGTAACTGCAGCAGCAATTAAGAGTGCAATTACAAAGCCAAGACATCTGCTGTGTCGACGGAGGGGCGGGAGTCTAATCAATCATCAATCATCAATCATCAATCATTAGCCATTGTTCGCTGCACAAATGTTTGCCAAAGACGTTCAACAACTAATATTATCGGTTTTCTAGGAATGCACATTGGACAAAATGAAATCTCTGGACACCTGGCTATTCGATTTGAACAAGTTCTCGTATTTCGATAATGGGGCCAACAAGCATCCGCTGATGAATTGCCAAAAGGTGGTGGCCACAGACCGTGAGTAATAAATATATAAATAGCATTAAAAAAATGTAAAAAAAAATACAAAAAAAAACATAAACTGGGTAAATATGCATTACTTGTGTATCATATTTTATCATGATGAATAATGAATGATTCTTAAAGTTCCCAATTTATGCTCTTTGTCATCCTCAGCTGATACCAACAAGCTGGTCACGGCGCGCTTCTGTCAGCTGGACACTGGGGACTCGGATGCGTGCGATATATTGCGCTCCAAGCTGCGCATCACCAGCGACGGCAGCGGCAGCCAGCGGCAGCGACGCCGCGAGCGGGACCAACAGCAGCAGCAGCAGCAGCAGCGGCGCAAAGGATATGGCCAGGATGCCGGCGAGCAGTCGCCCGAGGAGGAGTTCTTTTGTGACATCTGCAAGACGGATCGCTGCAATGGGGCGGCTGCTGTGACGCTGACGTCGGCGTCGCTGCTGGCGTTGGGGCTGCTGCTGACACGCCCACTGAGCAGCTGCTGAAGCGTTAAACGGTTTGCTGGCGGGCGACGGACGGGCGGCGGTTGCATTTAGGTTGAGTTAACGTTAACGTTTATCGTTTACTTTGTAAATATTCGAGTGGCCATCGAGCGACATTGTTGAGTTTGTAAAAGAACAAAAAAAAAAAAACAAAAACAAAAAAAAAACACGCTACAAGCCTACCCCCTACCCCAAGCCCCAAGTGCCCCCAGTCCAACCCACCACAGCCCACACCGACCACCCTTAAGGCCGCCAAGGCCCTAGACATGTAAGTGACAGCACACACAGATACAAAATACAAATACTCACAGTTACAGATACAGATACACAGATACAGATACACTCCCGCAGTGGCAATCGCTTTGAGTCCTAAGCAAATATGCGAATTTCAATTAACAGCTAGCAAATGGCCAAAGGAGAACACAAAATTTTTGTGTTTTATATCAAGGATTTTCACTTCAATTTGTTCGATTGCCAGCACAGTGTGCACAGTGTACTTGTTTTTGCAAACAGCTTAACATTGCTTACATTGCTGCCACCTAGCAGAAAGCTGCACAGATATGGCAACACCAAACAGTATACAATTAACATGAACTTTGCCAGGCAGTTGTTGAATGGCTTTATGGCTTTATTGAGTTGTAATTGATTTGCTTTGAGCAAATATGCCTGATGAGATGAATGTTGCGTATGAATTCACCAAATGCCTTTAATTTTCTATTGTTCACATTGCAATGTTGAATATATATATAATCGAACAATTATATTAATATATATACATATATGAGTACTTATATTGCCATGAAGTAACTTGGCAAATACAATTAAATTGCCTGATTTTGAGTTAGTTTAGGTTTAACCGCTAAAATCACATCTTCTTTTTCTGTCTCTTTAACCTTTCTTTACTTTCGTCTTCGGGTTATTTCATGGCACATTATATTTATATTGTATGAATGTGTATTTTAAGGTAGACACAACTTAAATAGTTGCAAAAAATTAAAACAAAAATCAAAAAAAAAAAAATATTTACATATACTAAAAAAGGAATGAAATGTCAACTCAATGAATTCATTTAAAATTATAAACAACACGTTTTCTATTACATATATATGCAAAAAAAAATGCCACGGAATGAGTGGATGAATCTTTAAAGGGTACGCTAGCAGTGTTTAAATGTTTCAACAAATGCGAACGCCTTGAGCAATAACCTTATATATTAGAATTAAAATGTATTTGTACTATGATTTTCGAAACACGCAAAAACAATCAGCAAAAGTGTAAAAAATGAGAAAAACAAAAAACAAAACAAAAAAAAAAGTGCAACAAATGTTAATTAAATGTGCAATTAGAAAAGTTTAACAAAGCAATACATACAACTATTTGTGAAAAAAGAAAGAAAAAAAAACGAATAAAACAAAGAACAACAAAACTTTTAAGGCGAGCTTTATTAAGTGCATACGTCCCATGGCCACGCCTACAAAAAAGAAAACAAAATATGCTCATTTCAAATGCAATTTGTAGAAGTCGACTTAAGCGAAATGAAAATATGGCAAATAAAACAAAAGCGTCAAGCAATAACTGCATGACAATATAACAGTATAACACTTGCACTCGATATGCACAACTGTATAACAGTGAAAAGCAGTTTACTTTGCTAGCTCTACTTTATATTGCAGTACACTCAACGGTTTTACCTGCATGAGAGTATAACAGTTAAGATGACTGTAACAGAATAGCACAGTTTTCTAGTGACAATCATTTGTGGATTGTATAACAATATAATAGTTGAATCCACGGTAAGGCTGCGTAGCACAGTTTAAAGGGACAGTTATTTTTGCAGCTGTGCAACGGTCCAAATTATATAACCGTATAACAGTTTGAACCACTAAGGTAATGCGTAGCATAGTTGATATTGCAAGCTTTGCTTCTGTTTTCGATTTTTACTTAATTGCTTTTTACCTTCGCGGAAATGCCTAACAATAATGTGTCATTATACCCTGCTTTCTGTTAAAACTGTTTTAAAAATAAACAGGGTGTATAGCACTTGTGCAAAGGAAAGAACTAGAGACCATTTACAACACTTAATAATTCGATGTTCCTTATATAAGGTAAAAGTCTTTTAATTTTACATTTATCCTCAAGATAAATAATGGAAATTCTCATATCAGTATAACAAAGGTAAGTACTCTTTTACGATTATACAGAACTGGCTACAGGGCATTTATCAGTCGGGCACTCCCAATTGAAACAACTATAAAAACAAGTTGAAATACACGATTGTTTTCATGGGTAGTATAACAGTGTAGCACAGTTGCCTGTTGCTCGTGACTTTTTGGCTTCCTATGTTGTCGTTGTCAATCAGCGATAATATTCCCATTACTCATGTTAGATGCAACCATCCAACCACCCACCCAACCATCGCCCCGCACGGGCACCATACCAAACCGTGCGTTTAATTTGAAACTCTTTTTGGCGATGCTATCGAGGCGTCATCTTGTCATCCAGCACAGTGCGACATGTTTCAGCAGTACCGCAAATTATTTTCGCCCTCGCATTGTGAAGATAGCCGCTGGAAAAAATTTGATTGAGTCAGCCGAAAGACAGCAGCCAACCGACGACGACGACGTGTCGATATCAATGCTGGCAGTTCTATTTAAATTTTCGGTAGCTTCGGCCGCAGTTCTCCTAAATAATTCAAATTACATTTATCCTCGAGATAAATATTTATAAGCTACATTTCGTTAAAAGATATGCGTTCAATGTTGCTGTTGATTCTGTGGCAGCTGCTGGCGGCTTACTGTGCTGGCAGTTCAGGTGCGTGGAGGCAATAGCTCCTGGCTGAAGCTGGTAGCTGAACTAATTTATTGACCCCGCAACGTGGAACCGAAAGTCGAACTCTTAAATATGCATTACCTATTTTACAGCGCTGAGCTGCTACAAGTGCGAGGATTGCGATGAGCATTCCCATTTGTCGGAGCTGGAAGTATGCAGTGTACCGTCCACGGAGTCGCAGCAACAGCCGGCTGGAACTGGCCTGCCAGCTGCATCGAGTCCGAGTCCAAACCCAAATCCAGCGCCTGCTTCCAGCCCAGCAGCTCCAGCAACCAATCCGCCCAAACCGGCTGCAGCTGCTAATGCGCCCGCTCCAGCTTCCGCGTCCGCTCCAACACAAACTCAGTTTCCTCCCAAGCCCGGTTCCGAAAGTGAGACTGAGGAGGATTATGAGAGCGATGAGGAAGAATCTGCAGCACCATCCACTTTGGGCATAATGCCCGCTGCCAACAATAAGCCTGCAGCAGGTGCAACAGGTGCCGCAGGCGGAGCTGCTGGCGTAGGATTAGGCGCGAATGGGGCCTCGGGCACAGCAGCTGCTTCAGCACCAGCAGCAGCAGCTGGAACCGCTGCTGCCATGCCAGCCGCCGCCACCGGAGCCGGAGCCGGAGCCGTTGTTGGCGACAGCGAAACAGCCGAGGACGAAGAGGAAGAAGAGGATTATGATGAGCGACGACGGCGCAGCGTCGGTCGCCAGAGCCTGGACACGCAGAGGGCCGTTTGTTATTTTGCTAGTCTAAGACGTAAGTGCAAATACCCAAAACTCTATCTATATAAGACTGAATGGCTGATTGAAGACTGATTTAAAACTGATCTAAGACTGATTGAAAGCTGATTGAAGACTGATTGAAAACTTATTAAAGACTGATTGAAGAACTATTGAACACTGATTAAGGACGGATTGGAGACTGACTGAAGACTGATTGAAGACTGATTGAAGACTGATTGAAGACTGACTGAAGACCGATTGATTGTCTGATTGAATTTGTTTGAAGACTTTTTAAAGACGGATTGAAAATTTATTAAAGACTTATTAAGGACGGATTAAGGGGTGACTAAAGACTGATTGAAGACTTATTGAAGACTGATTGATGATTGATGGTTAAGGCACAGCCTTGTGAAAGTTATAAACGATTTTTTCTTTCTTTTGCAAACTATTTGCTTATTTTCAAAGACCCTTTTAAAGCGTTTTTCTTTAAGCTAAAAACAAAATATTATTTTCCGGAAACATTTTTATTTAATCAGAAATGTTCTAAATTTTACCTTGATTGAGAACGTTTTGCTCTTTTTAACTAACCTCTTTCAATTGCATTCTCCGAGCTGTTTACCAGAACTAACTCTTTAGTTTGCGTAAGCCAAATTCTCAAAACAGCTTTGTTCTTAATTGTCGACTTTACAAATAATTCCATGACGATGTAAGCCAGAACAAGTCGCATTTTATCGCTGGGAAATTGTTTATGAAAAACTGTTTCTGTTGACTGAGAGTATTTAAACAAAATGTTTCACCGTATGACGTCAGAGAGTATAAAGAATTTCACCAAAAGGGGCGCAAAATAGGGGTCCTCTTTTGGTTTTACTATCCAAAATCAAAATAAATATACTTTCAAATATCTAAATAAAAGGATGATGATCAGTTACGCAATCATGCTTTTAGCGAATTCTGTGCGAATTCACGCACACGAACGGAATATAGGTGAAAAACTGAATTCCAATGTTAAATAAAAGAAATAGTTTTGTGTTTAGCGTGCATTTATTAAAAAAAATTGTAGCGCATATTATATCTAGTCATACGAATAATAAAATGATAATAAATATATTAATTAGTCTGATAAATATTTCTTAAAATAACCTAACATTTTCGCTTTACATTTACACTTGGACTCTTATATTCTGGGCAGTTAACGGCACGGAAATAACAAATCGTGGCTGCATGATTGTCACGGATGACAATCAGACGGACGCCTGCAATACCCTGTTTAATGGCTGGAATGTGGTTGGCTGCAACCTATGCGAATGGAATGGCTGCAATGTACCCATATGGAGCAGCGGATCCGGCAGCTGCCGTTTATCAGGCCGCACGGCGCTGGCTATGACGCTGCTGGCCGTGTTGTCTTCGGCGTGGATCTGTAATTGATAACAACTATATATAATCTATAATAATAAATATACATATATATATATATATATCTATATATATGGTTTATTGCCTGCCGCGATTTATGAACCAGTACGCAGTCTATTTCGATCTTAATTACGCGCCATAGCTGGTGAGCGGGCCGGTCTATTTTTGCCAAATTGTACAATTGGTAAGTGATACGCGATAAGAGGGGGAAAATTGTCCAATCATTTGGGCTACCCGTTCACAGTTCAACTAATGACAAATCAATTACAGCAGCTGATAAGCTGCAGTTAAACGATGACAACAACAACCAAAAACAATGAAGAAATTATGTCTGACTTCATTTCTATTGCTGATAACTGATGATCAACGCCGATCGACTGATAGCATTAGGCCTCAAGTGGCAATCGCTGCCGGCAAATTGAGCGATTTACAGCCAGACAAATCGACACTGAAACAATTGCGCCCAGTTCTCAATTAGGTGATGAACAAATCTGCCGTTTGCCTGCGGAAATGTGATGTCAACTTAACGGAATCGCATTTAAGGCAACTTGTGCTTAGCAACGGGCAGCTGTTTGCTTCTGATATACCCTGTATTGGGTGCAAGTGGGTATACAGCATCTTCCACTCCATAGCCATATCGATGCATATTCTATCAGACTGCGTTTGTATGTCAGCTCTCGTATACCATACATTGATCAGGAATAGTTCATATCTTGAAAACTTTTTCCGTAACCCCTAAGAATTAAGAAACAACTTATTTATGGAATATGCTCACCAATATATGTTGTCTTGATGCTCTGAAATGTTCATTTCATTCACACAAAATTTAATTAAGTATCAATTTTGCAAAGTGTGTTTAAGAGAAGCTCAGTTGAAGTTGAAGTTAAGACGTGTTGACTACAGGGTATTCACCAGTCGAGCACTCTCGATCGAAGCCTGTTAACTGGCTGCGAATGCAATTGCCAAATTTGTGAGGCTGCTTTAAACGCGTATGACATTATATAGTATATGTATATTATATCGTATATGATATATATATATGAAGCGAACACAAAGACGGGCTGGGCCTGTTTGCTTCCCTGTTTTATTTTTGTAAGGCTTAAAACTTCCGGGCCAGTTGGATTTACGCCCAAAAATCGCACACGCAATTACGTTCTCGGCAGGCTAACAAATGCTGACTTTGACCTGGGTGCCGAGAGAGTTCTCTGAGAGCAGCGTGAGATATATTTTTTTTTTGTTTTGTCTTCTTTTTTATTTTTGGCGATTTACGTGATGTCGCCAGCAATTGAAAACCACAAATTTCCGATTTTATTTTCATTTGTTTTTGTATCATTTTTTTTGTCAGTTATCTGCGGACCGTGTGTCTGCGTCTGAGCTGAAAAATTTTGATGCGTCAGTTAACAGCCAGACACTAAACACGATTTCTAGCCATTTGGCACGAACCGCTTGCAGTTCAATGATACACATACGAGTCCACAATATACCATATAATTTACGAGTACGCACGATCTAGTATAGTCGGTGCCAGCAAAAGAATCAGGGTCAAACCTTAGAACCTTACATCTGAGCTAACACACATTTCTGGTCCATTTACAAAATTCATATAAAATACAGTTCCCAGTCTTTGGCCCAACATAATTTTGTTGAAAACTGAAGAAATTTAAGGATTGAACCTCAAAAAAAAAAATGTATATATATAAATATTAATTTTAATAAATGCTTAATTTTATTTGTTTTAAAAGCTCTTTTGCTGCTCTTCCTTCCCAAAAATTGAAATTTAGCCATACTTTTATCTTAGAACTCTTACAATATTAAGAAATACAAAATTTTTTTAATTTTCTTGGATAAAATATTTATATAAAAACTATTGATGAGGTTAGAAATCTTAAAACTATTGAGAAGTTATTTGCTTTTGTTCTACTCAAACTTTCCCATTATTAAGCTTATTATTGTAAAAGAAGTGCAATACCCTGTAAGAGAACTCTGTCTTATATATTTTGATCAATTGATTAAAATGATCTTGCTGCCAAGGTTATTCCGGGCCAACATTGAATTTTCGGGGACCTTGGCTTTGCTTATCAAATGGCCCCAAGCAAAAGTCTTGCGGCCTTTTGCGCATTTCATTAACATTGAATGCCGTTAACCTTTTTGTGCGTTCAAATGGAAATTTTTTGTTGTTGTTCCCTTTGCCTAAGCAGTGCAGTGCGGGCTCTTCTCGGCGATTCTCAAAATCCACATCTTGCTGCCGCAACAACGCGGTCAGCTGCAAAGTCGCACAATAGGTGTAAATGGGCCGGGTAAATACCAAATAAAAGTCTGTGTTAATTGATGGGGAATTGAAATCGAGTTTGTTGATTTTGCGTGCTTTTAATATTGAGTAATATTAATCATGCGACATTCGCACAACATCAACATCAATCCCAATATACGAATATTATGTAAATGTAAGTGCACGCAGGGGATGACAAATGTTTACCCCCAAAGAGGAGCGTCGCATTAGGGTGTGGACGTTGATCTCAGCAAGAACAACAATAATCAGAATTAGCTAACTACCCGTGCTAAGCGCTTAATTAGCATATAAGATATTGAAAAAGTCGCTCAAGCAGTGTACACTGACAGAAAAAATGTCTACAGCAAGTACAACAAAATTGTAACCAGAACAAAATTTGTAACATTGAAGTTCCTAAATAGAAGGCACAAAAATATAAGACTTTCTCAATATAATTTAGTTATCCAGTCAAATTGATATTCTTAAGCGGCTGCTTTTCTCTGAGTGTATCATATAAAGTCCCAGCTGGGGTATTTTGTAAAAACCCAGGCATTGAATCATTTGCAAAGCCGGGAAATCTTCTGCCCGATTCGCTATCTTATTATAAGAATTCCCTGACGGGGCGCTGACGTTTACGATCTCGAAACTGGAAAAGCATAAGTTGAAAGAGTTGCAGCTGAAGAGAGCTCAGCCAAAGAGTTTAAGAGAGAGCGAGTTTGCGTTACTCTTAAGCTCTTTTTTTTTTTAACTTTTACTTTTTTGGCAATTTGGGTTTTGCATTATAAATTAATTTCTTATCAATAAAATAATGTACGCACACACACACGCATTAACTAACCGCACGCGGCAGCAATTGTTAGCGCTCCCTCTCTCTCTCTCTCTCACTCTGTCTCTCTCTCTCGCTCTGACTCTCTCGGCAGCTAGCTGTCTCTTTCTGGAGCGTCGCAGCTGTCGCTGCGCAAGTCGCTTATAAAACTCTATAAAAAGTCTCAAACAAATCACAAGATTTTCAGTTAAATTCCAGAATTCGTAAACTGCGGTCGCAAGTGAAGTCGTGTTTGAAAATACGATATATAAATACGATATATATATTAATATATATATATTTTGCATAAATCTTGCGAGCAAAGATTTATAACAAGCATACAATATCCGGGTTTTTTTCAAACAATTATAAAGACAGACAGAAACAAATAATAATCACAATGCGTCGTGGTAATAATTTAATTCTGTTCAGCGCCCTCATTTGGCTGCTCGTCGCGCCAGGTAAGAGTTCAGGTGTTTCGGTGCCCCAAAATGTGTCAGAACCGTTATTCGATATTCGAGTGATATCTCAAAAGTCAGATATTAGCCTAAGTCCGAGTGTCCAAAATTGTGATACAAGATTGATGCGCCCGTATTAAAAGTGGATCGTGTCGGATCGCTGGAATTCGATTTGTTAAGCACCAACAGCAAAGTCGGAACGAAATCTATAAAAAAAAACCAAAAAAACTACTTATTTGATAATATGATAAAATAATAATTATTTGCTGCTATTTATAAATAATTTGTGTGCCGCTTGTGAAATGCAAAACAGAATGAAAAGAGAGAGAAAATAAGAGAATTATATTCAAAATGCAAATTCATTTTTTCTGCCCATTAACATTTATTGCAATCGCAACGTTTTTGTGCCTGTTAAACAAATCACAAATCAATAAAAAAAAAAACACTATAATTATAAAAAATGTATACAAAGAAAAAAACTGTCTGGTTGAGAATCAGAGTCGAGAACAATTGCAGTTGATTTTTTCTTTCATAAATAATGCGAAAATATAGTTGGCAATTTTTTACGTTCACATTTATTTTTTTTGCAAATGCAGAAATGTTGACAGAAAGCAGACTTATTAAGTCTGAGAATAGAGTTAATAATATATTATTTGCATATATATAATATATGCCTACGAGGAGCGAACTTCTTGATGGAGCTGCATTTTGTGCAAAGTCAAGAAATATTTTAAAGTATTTGCAAATTAAAATACCATGCTGAATGTTTAAATTTGTATGTTATTTATTTATTTAGTTTGTGTACAAAAGTGAAAAATACAAAAAAAAAATATATATAAGTTAGAATTGCGGTTCCCAGCAAGATCTGACTTTAAACTTCGATTCTCCGAAAAAGGTCTAAACGAAACCGAATTATTTGGTATTTTGGTAGTTATGTTGAGTTTTTTAACTATATAAATTAATTAAAATTGGATAATTTTTTAATATAATTTATTTCAAACAATTTCAATATAGACATATAGATATTTATCATAAGAGCTCTAAATTAACACGACACGCAATCTCAATTATTCCGAAGTGCTCAAAAATAAATTAGAAAATATTTCTAGAGCAATAGACCACTATTATTTGAGCTTTATATGAGTACGACACGTGCCCAATTCTCAATTACTCCGAAATTCTCAAAAACAAATTGAAAAATAGTTTAAATATTAACCAATTTTCCTTACCAATATCAATACAGATATATAGACAGATAGTTTATTTATTAGAGCTCAGCACGAACTTTGCAAATATTTCTAATTATTCAAATACTTTTCATAGGCCTTGGAGAGTTTTCTTACCAATTCCAAAATAGACACATAAATATATACTTATTATTAGAGATCGGCACAAGCACGACCCATAGATAAACAGATAGTTCACGTGCCCAGCTCCACTGCCAAGTAAAGCATATATTAAAATAGAGCTAATTTCGAAAGGCGTCTTGAATTTGTTGGTGTATTTGAAATGCATTATTCGAGCTATATTTTGTTTGTTAGTCTCGATATTGACATTGAAAC